TTTTTTTTTTTTTTTTTTGCCTTTCTTTGAGTTACTTCAATTTTTTGTTCAACTGCATGCACCTAACTACTCTAAATGTTTGTATTTTGTAGATAAGAAAGTTGTACCCAAGGCAGCAAATGACATAAAACTGATAAATGCTGGTAAGGTTTTAGAAAACAACAAGACTGTTGGTCAATGTCGAGTGCCTTTCGGGGAGCTGCCTAGAGGAGTTATCACTATGCATGTTGTGGTGCAGCCAACAATAGCAAAAGCAAAGACAGGTAGCTAATAGCTAGATTTTCTGCATTAGCTAATAGCTAGATTTTCTATTGAGAAATAGCCAACATCTTATATTATCTTCACATCGTCTTCTAGTATTCGGATTTGGTCGTTAAGAACACAGAAAAATATTTCATATTTGACATTTGGATTGTGAGATGCTCCTGATTTCATATTTGTAAATGCTACAGTGTATACACGTCCTTTATAAGAGTGTGGAAACCTCTCCCTATTAGATGCGTTTTAAAATCTTGAGGGAAAACCGGAAGGAAAAGCCTAAATTCTAAATTTTATAGCATTGGGTGTAATGAATATTTGTTTCTCATTTCTTCCTCTCTCTCCACTTTTTCATTTTTTTTAGATCCCTTTCCCATGGATTAATGTTTGCTCCCTATGCAACGACTGTGACGTAATTTGTTATCCTCTACAGAAAAGAAGATCGACGAGACCCCAAGAAAAAACGTATGTTCGTGTTCCATATTGTAGGAAGGTCGGTATCAATCGCTAGGAAGCTTGAAGCGAGGATAAAGCCAGCCAGCCAGCCTAGTGGGGAAACAGAAATGTGTAGTAGCTAAATAGAATAATATCACTATAGAACAAAGTTCCCATCCCTGAGAATTACATAGTTCTTTTCAAGTCGATGCTGCGTGACTCGAATATATATCGTGTGAATCTATAGAATCAGTAATAGTCCGAAGTATGTAATGTAGGCGGTTTTGATTGTTTCAAAATTATTTTTACAGAAAGAAATGGGGGGATCAACTTGATCCTGAGATTTGTATGTCAACTGTCTGAACTCAGCTCGGACTCGACCTACTGCTATAGTTTTTCTGCTATTAGTGTATGGAGTCTTGAGCATGGTCTGAAGGTGTGGTCTTTTGAATCTGATTCAAGTTCTTGTCTGTTGTTTGCTGTAGAAAAAGAAAAACAACAGGCAACAGGTTCTGAGTTGTGTAATGGAGTTCCATTTATAGAATGAATTCTAAGTATGGTTTCTTTTTAATAAAAAAAGAATTTAACATTATGAATGTAGGATTGAGTACTGAAATCCACTTGTAGATAGGGGTGGATCTTGAAAACATATTTTGGGAGGCCTCTTGTCTCAGAACGCTCGTCCTCATCGTGATACACACATGTGTCATGGTAGCTCGCTTAGGTGGTCACAGGGCTTAAGGGTGGTGGAGTACTAGGTTAGGTGGTGGAGTGTTGACATCATGTCTCACTCTAGAGTACCGACATTTCTAAACTAGTGGGTGTATACATGATTTTGGTGAACTGACATATGATGTCGTTGAGTTATTTTAAGTAAAACAATTTTCTCAAGTCTACATTATTTGTAGCATTTTACTGACATGGCGAGTCACCAAGCATCGAGATAAGCAATTGCTATTGCTACCTAACAGCGACATACCTTTTTCAAATTTCAAAGGGTTGAAAAAACTTGACAAGGGTTCTCCATAAGCATTATAGGGACCCTATTTTGCCCAAGAAGGCTCGACCAACAAGCATTCTCAACCGCTCAGTTTGCTCCAATTCACCCTTTAAACATCACGTTTATTGCAGAGAGTACAGGGTCCAAGAATCTGGAGTGCGATCCCTTGCCCCACACCACATCACGAGCTGCATAGTCCTTTTTTAGTGGCTCGTTCAATCAGCTGTCATTCTCCATTACGACTCCATATTCTTTTCCCATTGGCCATGTTTTTGGGCTCTTTGGTTTTGGAGATTGCTGCAATTGCCAAATAATAACTAATACTGTTTCATTCCACCTCAATGGGTGTGATGGATGGTGTCACAATCGCACTTTTTTTTACGGCAGACTTTGTGATTATGCGGTATTCACTTCTCAACAGTAAGTGAGTCAAGCCAATTTGTATTCGTGTTGTCTACGGATGGACAATATATGCTTAAGCCTCTATCCCCGATTTGAGAAAAAGATTTTAGAAAATGGGGTAGATAGATTTTGAAAGAGAGTTTGAAAACAAGATTGAGAGAGATTGAAAACAATGTTATGGCATACAAGCAAAAGGCAACACAACGGCTTAAGTAGCATATAAGTTTTTCGGGTAGGGAGAATTGACAACTAGTCGCATCCCCCTATAGTACATTTTGAGGCGATTCAAGTCTGGTAGGCCTAGATGTGATTTCGTCGAATGGTCATACAAAATCAAGGGAGGAGTTGACAACTAGCCACACCCCCCTATAGTACATTTTGGGGCGATTCAGGTCTAACAGGCCTAGACATGATTTCGCCAAACAATTATACAAACAGAAAATACAATAGTAAAGGGTTCGGCATGGCATAAACATGCGGCCATGGACAACACGCCCTGGATGAGCATGACCGTGTCACTTGGCTCATAGACACGGGCTAAGATTACAACCCTGTAACAGTCGCCGACTGAAGTTTGAAAACTTGAAGTAATTAGATGTTTTAACCTTCATCTCATTGCCTAGTTATGATTGCTTGGCTCGACATTGGCTAAGACTACAGCCCTGTAATTGTCGCCAACCAAAGCTTGAAAACTTAAAGCAATTAGATGTCGGAATCTTTGAGGGTTGAGATGTAGAGCAGGCATTCTTTTTTCACAAGAGACTTGGAATTGACACACCAAACAACAGGAGATGGGTATAAATCTTCTCAAGACAATTTAATGAAATGGGTAGCTCTATTAAGAGAGTTTAGTTGGGTTAGGCCCTCGAATCAAGAAGCAATATCAGCAATAATTCTGACAAAAGAATCTACTTTCTTCTCTTTCCTACGCTTCAAGTTCACATGGAAACTGACAAAATATCATCACATGTCTTTGTTTCTTGTGAAAATGTTAAATGGCCTTTACTTTTTGCCTTTACTTCAGTTATATCCCTACCCACCAACTGCTGAAGCAGTGAAGCTCGTTGCTTACATTACTACCACTACTACTCCCACCCTTCATTACATATCCTGATATGCATTGAGCATCAGAGGGCACTTCTTTCAAAGAGGAAAGAAACAGAAGCTTCTCTCTTGTTCCAACAGTTAGCCATGAATCTCTTTCTACTCTTTATCTTAGCTTTCTTGGTTCCAAGTTCCCTTCTATTGGGAATTCAGGCTTCTCATTCCCACCGAACAAGAACATTTTCTCAGATTACTGTCATGGGCCTTGTTTATTGTGACACTTGCTCCAACAACTCCTTCTCCAAACACAGTTACTTCTTATCAGGTAAGGCTCATATTCATTTGAAGTCATGATTTCAACAACTTGAACATGAACTAGAATTCAAATGATGAAACTAGTATCTTGTTTTCAAGAGCAATGGTTTTTGTAGTTATGTTGTACGTTTGTTTGGACTTTAATCTTCTTCAGCATTTTGATACTGATTTTGAATTTGATTTTCAACTTCTTTTTCCTTTTCAAGAGCAATGGCTTTTGTAGTTATGTTGTACGTTTGTTTAGACTTTAATCTTCTTCAGCATTTTGATACTGATTTTGAATTTGATTTTCAACTTCGTTGATACAATTTTCTAACCTAATTTCAATAAAAGCATTTAATTCAGCAATTCATTCAAAAGCAAGACTGATAAAAATCGATACTCGTCGGTGCACTGCGTGTGTGTTTATGTATGAAAAAAATCAGGTGTAGAAGTTCGAATCAGCTGCAAATTCAAAGCAGAAACGCCGCGTACGGCGGAGCAGATAGCATTCTCAGTGAACAGAACAACAAACAAATACGGAGTTTACAGATTGGAAATACCTTCGGTGGACGGAATCCGATGCGCAGAGGATTCAGAGATAGCGTCGTTCTGCCAAGCCAGTTTGATCGGAAGTCCATCGTCATCTTGCAACGTCCCTGGATACAGAACCACATCGGAAGAAATTTCGATCAAATCGAGAGAGGCAAACATTTGCATTTACAGCTTAAATCCGCTCAATTACAGGCCATCAGCTAGAGATGATACCTTGTGTGGAAATTAGTCGAACGATGAAGATGATTACCTTTTGATGAAGCTTCCTTTTGCCTCGCCCAAATTTGTCGCCATGGATTGAACAAAATTGTACAGTTTTAGAAGGAATCAAAGCTCTCGTCTCTCTCAATCTCTTTGCAATTTAACCTTCCAAAGTCAATATTTGCATGATTTATATATTATCAACTAAAATATCAAAATTTTCCCAACTAATATTCATATTTGCAATTTAGTCCTCCATAATGTTAAAATTTTCACTATTGTCTCCGTCTCACTTATCATATTTTTGCAATTTAGCCCTTTAAAACTTAATATTTACATAATTTATATACTCTCGACTAAAATGTCAAAATTTTCGTTATCGTATAATTAAACTAATATTCATATTTGCAATTTAGTCCTTCTATAATGTTAAAGTTTTCACTATCGACTCCGTCTCACCCTCCATATCTTTGCAATTTAGCTCTTCAAAAGTTAATATTTACATGATTTATATATTCTCGACTAAAATGTCAAAATTTTCGTTATCGTATAATTGAACTAATATTTATATTTGCAATTTAGTCCTTCCACAATGTTAAAATTTTCACGATCATCTCCATCTCACCTTCTATGTCTTTGCAGTTTAGCCCTTCGAAGGTTAATATTTACATGATTTATAAATTCTCGACTAAAATGTCAAAATTTCCGCTGTCTTATAATTGAACTAATATTCATATTTACGATTTAGTCCTTCCAAAATCTCAAAATTTTCACTATCGTCTTCGTCTCAGAACTTCAGTATTCAACAATACTAATTCTACGAGTATGAACACGTTCAATGAAATGAATTTGAGTAATTCAATAATGTGAATTGATATTTATCCGACCCCATTGAAGAACTTCAACGTTATGGCATGACGAAAATTAAATGACATTAAATACAAACTTGTGATGTCCCACATTGGTTGGGGAGGAGAACAAATCACTGTTTATAAGGGTGTGGAAACCTTCCCCTAGCAGACGCGTTTTAAAGCCTTGAGGGGAAGCCCGAAAGGAAAAGCCCAAAGAGGACAATATCTGCTAGCGGTGGATTTGGGTCGATCAACTTTATACAAGTGAGAGAGAAAAAAAAATTTAACCCCTAGAACAGTTGAATATTTGATATGTACACAAAATTGGATTGGAAGACAATCAGTATCATTAGTTCTTCCTCAACTAACAACTAAATCACTATCATCGTCGTTCCAGCCATCCACAGTCCTCACACCAAATATTTCCAGTTAGAAGGCAACATCACAACATTTCGTACTCAACGAGACTCATGTCACACGCCTAAAGGCACCTGATTCCAACCAGCCAAGCATGTTTTGACACCACTTAGCCTTCAAAACATAAGGCTAGCTCAAGGTTGCCAGCCATCACCACAACGTCACACACTCAACGAGGTTCATGTCACACGCTCGGGGGCACCCGGCTCCACCCCACCTAATGTAAGTAAAAATATTTTGTTTTGAGCTTATACAAATAGTTGATATATTTTTTTTAATAGGTTGATTGAGTTTTTTTCGGGTCATTAAATTTTTTTGAACTCTTTTTAATATTTTTAATATAGAGAATATTTGCCGATATGAAGTATATATTTTGTATATTGTGAAAAATAATTGCTAAAATCATATAAAAAATGTACAATAAAATTAATAAATTAAATATGCGATGTCTCTCGTTGGTTGAGGAGGAGAACAAACCACCATTTATAATGGTGTGGAAACCTTCCCACAGCAGATGCATTTTAAAGCTCTGAGGTGAAGCTCGAAAGGAAAGTCCAAAAAGGATAATATTTGCTAGTAGTGGATCTGAGTCGTTATAAATGGTATCAGAGCTAGACATCGGACAATGTGCCAGCGAGGACGCTGGGCTCCGAAGGGAGTGGATTGTGATGTCCCACATTGTTGGGGAGGAGAACAAACTACCAGCGAGCGAGGACGCTAGGCCCAGAAGAGGGGTTCCCACATGGTTGGGGAGGAGAACAACCACCAGCCAGCGAGAGGACGCTGGGCCGAGAAGGGGGTGGATTGTGATGTCCCACGTTGGCTAGGAGGAGAACAAACTACCATTTACGAAGGAAGCCCAACGAGGACAATATTGTAATTTGTTATAAATGATTAAAATATATTATTATACACGTGGATAATTGGTATAATGGTTTGAAAATACAATAAAAATAATTAAAATTAAAATTATTTTATATTAGATAAATTTTATTATTTTTAAATAATATATTTTTCAGCCCGTCATATTAGAGAAAGCCCAAAAGAATATAAGCCCATCTTGTTCTTATTTTGCCCTAGCCGTCTGCTCTCCCTCTCTGCTTCAGTTTGCCGCCGCTTATTTATATTCCATCCTTCTTCTCAATCTCCCTTTCACCAGGCTCGGATAAAATGGTATGAATCTCCCCACTCTCTTCTCTATTTTGATTCTGTTTATCAGTTTAGTTTGCGTTTTCTGGAGCTTTCAGATTCAATCTTTTGTTTTCAGATGCTATAATAGAATCAGTCCATGAATGTGTTTTTGTTTGGATGACTGAGACCGAAAACTAGACCGAAAACTATGTATCATGGTTGCGTTGCTGTTATGTTTTCTGCGATTTTAAGTTTTGAAATTTCTAGATGCATTTTTTTATTAGGTTTTGAGAGAAGTCTTCCTCTCGATCGTCGGACAATATGGTGTGTCATTTGATGCTTTTGAAATCACGAGGTTTTGATCGCTGAATCTGTTTGGCTTATTTTGATATGAAGCAGTTTCTGTCGGAGGTTGATTTTGATGTGTTTTTGGCTTCTTTTGGAAAATGCTTGCTAGGTAGATTGACTGAGTTGAGACTTAAGAGACATTCACTTTTTGGATTTAGCCACTTAGTGTTCTTTCATGGACACTCCTGGTTTTCAGGCCTTTACTACTTGTTAGCATATTGATCATCGTTTTATTATCAAATACAATTCATGGCAGTTACACTTGTAACATTAGCACTAATAGGCTTGAAAGTAGTCCAGTTGGTAAAATCGTCAGTTGCCTTACCTCAAGGTTATTGATTGAATTCACATCCCTTGTTTGAATTGTAGTATTCTGAAAAAACACTTATGTAATCAAATTATGATAGTTGTACCTTGCAACAAAATATGAAGAAAATGGTTTTGTACAAAATTGAAGTGTTTTTATGATTTCTTTTATTACTTTCAAGATTTTAGGAGAGATAGAAGTCTACACATTTTAAGATGTAAGATTAAATTCCTTCCCCTAAAAATCTTTTTGTCATTATACTTGAATCCCTCTTTGTGTATTATAGTTGATTTGTTCTCTTTATGATTTCTTAGATGTTTACATCTTTGCCTGGAATGAAATTTGCTGACATCATTTTATTGTATTTTTAAAGGCGCCAAAGAAAGCTGTTGGAAAAGCCTTGGCGAAAAAGAAGGCTGTAAGTGATTCTTTTCCTTGATGAATGTTTTCTTTTTTATTATTGTTCTGGTGTCTTTTTGTTGTTTTTTTAATACAGTGTTATGTGTTGTTAACAGGAGAAGGTTGTGAACCCACTATTTGAGAAGCGGCCGAAGCAGTTCGGAATTGGTGGTGCATTGCCACCGAAGAGGGATTTGACAAGGTTCGTCAAATGGCCAAAAGCTGTTCAAATTCAGAGGAAGAAGAGGATTCTTAAGCAGAGGTTGAAGGTTCCACCAGCTTTGAATCAGTTCACTAAAACCCTTGACAAAAATCTTGGTAAACTATTAGATTTTAGTTGTGATTGTTGTCTTGTTCTTCTAAGGTATGCCTTTTAACCATATTGGATTAATGAGGTTCTAATGCCTTCAATGATTTTTACTTGTTAATTATATGTTTCAGTTTGGTTTCATTGAGACTGTTTCTTGTTTGACCTTGCAAATATATTTTCAAAGTTGATTACTGCTGATCATAAACTTCAGTCTCTGAATCTAGATTGCTGATTGATCCGTGCCTTCATTTTTACTGGTGGGCTTTTATTACTTTTGCTGCTCACTTTGGTCATTTGGAAAAAATGTAATAGAAAATTCCTTATCTGATTCCAACAATTGTGTCTGTTCAACATTTATTTTGTTTTGGTTAGATTATATGTATACTGTCTCCTTTACCTCTGTTCTTTGTATTGATATCAAGTTCCATATTTAATGTGTATACAGCCACGAACCTGTTCAAGATGCTTTTGAAGTATAGGCCAGAGGACAAGGCACAGAAAAGGGAGCGTCTTATTAAGAGAGCTCAGGAAGAGGCTGAAGGCAAGCCACATGATGCCAAGAAACCTATTGTTGTTAAATACGGTCTCAACCATGTCACCTATCTCATTGAGCAGGTTTTATTTTGTTCGGTCGTCGTACATTTGAATATTTTGGTTATCCAACTGTTATACTGCCTGGAATCATGTATACTCATAATGTGAACTTCCTTTCCAGAACAAGGCACAGTTGGTGGTGATCGCCCATGATGTGGATCCAATTGAGCTCGTTGTTTGGCTCCCGGCCCTCTGCAGGAAGATGGAAATTCCATACTGCATTGTTAAGGGAAAAGCACGATTGGGAGCGGTAACTACGACCGTTTATTTGCGATACTTTCCACTCTTTTGAATCCATAAGTGCCAATGCCTTAAATTTTTCCTTTACAACAGATTGTCCATCAAAAGACTGCATCTGTATTGTGCTTGACAACCGTGAAGAACGAAGATAAGTTGGAGTTCAGCAGGATCCTCGAAGCTATCAAGGTGATTTACATAATCGTTTTCGTCGCTTCTTATCTAACATTGCGATTTGATTGGCGTAGTTCTAATATCGTGTCGGTTGTTTGTTTTAGGCCAATTTCAACGACAAGTACGATGAGTACAGGAAGAAATGGGGTGGTGGAATCATGGGTTCCAAGTCCCAGGCTAAAACTAAAGCAAAGGAGAGGCTTCTGGCCAAAGAAGCTGCTCAAAGAATGTCTTAGAGATGAGAGTTGGCAACTATTTTTGGGTCATAGCGTCTTCAATATCATCATGAGAGAGTTTAGAAGTTTTGTTTACTTTTCATTTGCTACTCATTTGCTGATTTCAGATCTAGTTTTGTTGTTGCAGACTCTTTTAATGGTTAATACTTTTGATCTCATATCCTCACACAAAGAACTTGGGCGGAGGTATTAGTAGTAGAGATGTTCGACTATAGGATGAGGATGGGGGAGCCTTCTTCGACTCGGTCACTTACAGAGAATTTTTGGGAATCCCGTGGGGATGGAGAAGCTTTCTTCGTCTTCATCCTTGTGACCTATTTTATGTTCTCACGGAGAGTTTGTGAGGATCCCGAGTGGATGGATAAGTGTTCTTCAGCTTCTTTTTATTTTTGTTTATCACTAAGGCCAAGAAGGAAGACTTGGATGATCTGCTCAAACTCATTTCTGTATTTGCCCTTCCTTTGATCCTTTGATCCGTTCAAACTCGTTTCAGTATTTGCCCTTCCTTTAATTCGCTCAAACTCGTTTCAGTATTTGCCCTTCCTTTAATTCGCTCAAACTCGTTTCAGTATTTGCCCTTCCTTTAATTCGCTCAAACTCGTTTCAGTATTTGCCCTTCCTTTAATTCGCTCAAACTTGTTTCAGTATTTGCCCTTCCTTTAAAGGCTTGAGTATGTTCGTCCCTCCATTTGTGGAAATTGGGGATGAGTCCCTCCATTTGTGGAAATTGGGGATGAGTCCAATTATAGGGCAATAACCTTTTTGGGAAGTCAATCCCTTTATATAGCTTAAATAGGCTTTTTGAAGTAGCTGCCATATCATCGATTGGTCTAAAATCAGCGCTAGGGTACTAGCGCTACGGATTTGCTAACAGCAATTCATCATCCATATTCCTTTCATTTATTTTATTTAGAAGTTTTTTTTTATTTTTAACATAATCTCTAGTAAAAAATTTGTAAAAGTATATTAAATTATTTGCAAAATTACTTATAATAAACAAGTATATTCCATAAGTAAATATATTAGGTTTTACTGATATAATTTTTTAAAATTCAAATTTTATTATTACCTTTTTTAAATATTAATATTAGAAATATTAACAATTTAATTTCAAAATGGACTAAATTATTTTACTGATACGCGCGAATAAATATATATATATATATATATATTAATTTCAAAATGGACTAAATTATTTTACTGATACGCGCGAATAAATATATATATATATATATATATAACTCGAGCTTCAACAATGGCTTCCATTCCCATCTTCCCCTTTTGATTTCTTCCATCTTAACTAATTCTGTTCAACAATATTTCGTTGGATTATCAGTTTTTTTTTCTTTTGATTTCTTCCATCTTAACTAATTCTGTTCAACAATATTTCGTTGGATTATCAGTTTTTTTTTCTTTCTTTTTTTGAACAGTTGGAGTTAGTAAGTTATTTTGTTGCGTAATTGTTAGTATATTTTAATCTCGAGCTTTCTGGAATTCAATCAAACCTACAGAGATTATTCAAATAATTTTCCCTTCTGATTCTGTTCTCTCTTCAGGGATTTTCACTCACTTTCCAGCTTCGAAAATGAGTTCGATTTTAATGGAGCCTGACGATTTAGCCGTCTTCGTCGGCGGCAGTGCTAGTCGGACATCGATGAACTTCACGACTCTCTGTACGTCGGCCCACCGGATTCATTCCGCCGGCGTTTTCTCCGGCGTGAACCCCTTGGAATTCTCAGTTCCTCTTCTTTTGTTGCAGTTTGGAATCTGTGCTGGAACTATCATCTTATTTCATCAACTCCTCAAGCCCCTCGGCCAACCTCTCATCGTCTCTCAAATTTTGGTAACTTTTCTTTTCTTGCTTGGAAAGTTTTCGTTGAATTACATGTTTAGTTCATGAATTCTGGTTATATCTGATGTAGTTTTTGTCTTTGGAGTGAAGAATTCAAACGAATTCTTAAGAAAAATGAAATCCATGTCGAGAATCAAAGAGAAATAGGCATTTAACTAGTTTAGTCCATGAATTCTCTGGTTATATATGATATAGCTTTTGTTTTTCGAGCGAAGAATTCAAATGATTTCGTAAGAAAAATGAAATAAATAGGCATTCAACTAGTTTAGTCCATGAATTCTTGATTATATCTGATATAGTTTTTGTTTTTAGAGCGAGGAACTCAAACGATTTCTAAAGAAAAATGAAACTCATGTTGAGAATCGAAGAGAAAATAGGCATTCAACAAGTTTAGTCATTGAATTCTCTGGTTATATCTGATATAGTTTTTGTTTTTTGAGTGAAGAATTCAAATGATTTCTTAAGAAAAGTGAAACACATGTCGAGAATCAAAGAGAAAATAGGCATTCAACAAGTTTAGTCCATGAATTTTTAGGTTATATCTGATATGGTTTTTGTTTTCAGTGAAGAATTCAAACGTTTTCTTAAGTAAGTGAAACCCATGTCAAGAATCAAAGAGAAATAGGCATTCAGTAAGTTTAGTCCATGAATTCTCCCATTATATCTGATATAGTTTTTGTTTTTAGAGTGAAGAACTGAAATGATTTCTTAAGAAAAACGAAACCCATGTCGAGAATCGAATAGAAAATAAGCATTCAACAAGTTTAGTCAATGAATTCTCTGGTTATTTGAAATAGTTTTTGTTCTTGGAGAGAAGAACTCGAACGATTTCTTAAGAAAACTAAAGCCCATGTCGAGAATCGAAGAGAAAATAGACATTTAACAAGTTTAGTCCATGAATTCTCTAGTTATATCTGATATAGTTTTTGTTTATGGAGAGAAGACCTCAAACGATTTCTTAAGAAAACTGAAACCCATGTTAAAGAATAAAAAAGAAAATAGGCATTCAACAAGTTTAGTCCATGAATTCTCCAGTTATATCTGATATAGTTTTTGTCTTCGGAGTGAAGAATTCAAACATTTTCTTGAAAGACGAAACCCATAATAGGCTCAATTTTCAAAAACTAAGAACACCGTTAGCTTTCCCTCTCGTATATCTCGATATCTTATTGGTTTGTGATTTGAACAGGGCGGTCTAGTTCTCGGTAGTTCGGGTTTGAGCCACATGAAGACATTTAGAGACACAATTTTCCCCCTCAGGGGATTTGTTTTCCTCGACGTAGTTACTTCATTTGGCACTATATTCTACTTCTTTCTGGTTGGTGTTCAAGTGGATATCTCAATTATGAAGAACATTGACAAGAAATCCCTTGGAATTGGGACTTTTTCTGTGATTTTGCCTTTGATTCTTACATCCCTTTACTCAACAGCCTTGATGAACACTGTTGGCACCAGAACTGCAAAATCTTTACTCATTGTTTCTGCTGCTGAATCCTTCATTAACTTCCCCATGGTTGCTTCCCTTCTTTCTGAGCTTCATTTGATGAACTCTGAGTTTGGTAGAATTGCTCTATCATCTTCAATGGTTTCTACTGTCTGGACTTTTTGTTTTGTAATGATAGGAGCTTTGGTAGCTCCACAAAATGGGGCCGTAGCCGAGTCCGTGATATCACTTTCTACCTTCATAATGGTATCAGGAACTATCATTTTCGTCGTTCGACAAGCGATGTCGTGGATCATAAAGAATAGCCCGACAGGGGAGCCATTAAAGGAGGGCTTTGTGGTTGCTATGCTTATAGGTGTTCTTATCACTGCCTTTAGCAGCAAGGCCTTTGGTTTGCATATCTATTTTGGCCCTCTTATTCTTGGTATTTCAATACCTCCAGGCCCTCCCATTGGCTCAGCCTTAGTGGAAAGGCTTGATTTCATTACCTCTTGGGTTTTCATGCCTGTTTTCTTTGTTAAGCTTGGCTTGGTTATCAATGTTTATAGCATCAAGCTCAAGAACTTCTTGGGCGTGTCGTTTGTTATCTATGTTAGTGCGTTGGGGAAGTTTCTAGGTGCGCTTGTTGTTGCTGTTGTGCACTGTAGAATGCCTGTGAGAGACGCTGTGTCGCTCGGTCTCGTCATGGCTAGTCAAGGAGCTTTCGAGCTCGGTATGTTTAAATTGATGAGGAAGGAAGGGGTAATGTGTTTTGTTTTGTTCATTGATTATCTAAGATTTGTTCTTAGAAACAAACTCATTGCATTCCATTTTGGTTCTTGTGCAGAGGATTGATAGAGGAACTTTTGCAGTTATGTGCATTTTCTTGATGGTTTTGATGGCGGTTATTACTCCGATAATCAGATATCTGTTTGATCCTTCGAGAAGATATACTGTTTATAAGAGAAGAACTGTTATGGATTTGAAATCCGGGTCTGATCTTCGTGTTTTGATATGTATTCACGACCAAGAAGACGTTCCGAATGCTATTAACCTACTCGAGGCCTTGAATCCGACGAGACGAAGCCATCTTATTGTGTATATGCTTCATCTTGTCGAGCTTCTTGGTCGTGCTAACTCGCAACTCATTCCTCACAATCTTAAGAAAGATAGGATTTCAACGTCGTGCCCTTCCGAGCATATCGTTAATGCCTTCAAATACTTTGGACGGAATAACCGTCAAACTGTTGCGATTTTCCCTTTTACTTCAATAACTTCTTCTACAACCATGCACGATGATGTTTATTTGCTCGCGCTCAACAAATCCGTTTCGTTGATTCTTGTTCCTTTTCACAAGAAGTTTTACTCTAATGGGGTCATTTCATTGTCCAACTACAACATGAAAATGGTCAACAATGAGATCCTCGACAAGGCGCCGTGCTCGGTCGGCCTTGTCGTTGACCGTGGAGTTCTAAATCTGTCGAGATCTGCTGCAACTAACTTGCATTCTTTTCAAGTAGCTGTGGTGTTTTTAGGTGGAGCTGATGACCGTGAGGCAATGTTCGTTGGGGCAAGAATGGCTGGACATCCCGATATCAACTTGACACTGATTCGACTCTTGAAGAAGGGGAACGTGGAGAGGGATGATGTCAAAGAGACGAGGCTTGACAACGAGGCCGTGCTCCAGTTTCGAAAAGCTACCACAAACAACCGTAGAGTGATGTACATAGAAGAGGTGGTCATGGATGGAACAGGAACAGTCTCGTTACTTCGTTCGATGGGGAATAGTTTCAGTCTCGTGATCGTCGGAAGACGACATAGCTGTTGTTCGACGTTGGTTCAAGGGTTGGTGCTGTGGAATGAGCAGACAGAACTCGGGGCGATCGGGGAGGTGTTGGCGTCCTCAGATTTCATGGGGAATGCCATAATCTTGGTTGTGCAACAACACACAAAACTAGCAAATGAAGAACAAAATAAGAACAATGAAGATAGTGTGACTCCCATTGATAGGCATTTAGCAAAGGATGAAGCAAAAGAGTTGCCCATCCAAACCAAACCATACATGTTTTGATCCTCCTTTACTAACTTCCTTCATTCAATCCATACGAACTTGGGAAATTTTTTGAATTTTGTGTTTTTTTGTTCATCAATACGCATAGCTAGGAGGTCTAGGTATTGTTCGCTGTGTTCCATTACGTATTTCGCCGTCAGCCTTACAGTTTCAAAACGTGTCTACTAGGGCTATGCACTCCCTTATAAGGAATGCTTCGTTTCCCTCTCCAACCAATTTGGGATTTCACAATCCACCTCTTTGGGAGCATAGTGTCCTTGCTGGCACATTACTTGATATCTAATTGTAACAACCCAAGCCCAATACTAGCAAATATTGTACTTTGTAGGCCTTCTTTATGAGCTTCCTCTCAAGGCTTTAAAACTCATCTACTATGGAGAGGGTATAACCCTATTTTGACTAGTGTCTCGCACTGTCCAGTGATTGGTCAGACATTGGGCAGTGTGCCAGCAAGGACGCTGGGCTTCCAAGGAGGTGAATTATGAAATCTCACATCAGTTAGAGAGGGGAACGAAACATTCCTTAGGATATGGAAACCTTTTCTCAGCGGACACATTTTAAAACTTTGAGAGGAAGCCTAGAAGTGAAAGCGCAAATAGAATAATATCTACTAACGGTGGGTTTGGACCGTTACAATTTGTGTATCTAAACTTAAAAGAAGCATAATGTAACAAATAAACGATGAGTCGATGATATATAGGTTGCTTATTTGAGCTATCAAATCTTTCTCGTTGTCTAAGTTTACACGACATGTGAGCTGGAGGTTCTAATATTTGATTTCTTGATTGAGGATAGAAATGTTCAAAAGAATTGATATCTAGAAGAACCAAATCAACTCGATCCGCTCGTGTACCTTGGGTTGGGTTAATGTATATGGATTGGGTTCGATTTGGTTCAAATAAATTGAATAGGTTTGCCTAAAATTAGTTTGAGTTAAATTAAACCAACTCGAACTTATTATTAAATTCTTTTTTTATTATTTATTAACTCTTAAAAAAAAAAAGTTTTGATAGTTGGAATGTTATTTTTCAATTTTAAATCAATGTTTAAAATAAATAAAAATATATTTTTCGGGTTAACATTTTATTTTATTTTTGTTGAAACAAAAATTTGAATCAATCACTCGAACAATTCCAACCAATTCAACTTAAATATTTAATAGTTGAATTGGGTTCATTATTTAATAAAAGTGGTTTGAGTTGAAAAAATTTATATCTAAAACAATTGAATTGAGTTTAAAATGTGTCTTAACTCGACCAAGTCGATCTATAAACTTAAAATTTTGAGATGGTTGGGTTAGTGCCTAGAACGTGGGATACCACATGTGATGCCACGTGATATCTAAACATTGCTTATAAGAACGTGAAAATCTATCCTTAGTAGACGCATTTTAAAATTGTGAGGCTGACGACGGTGCATAACGAACCACAGTATATACTAGCAGACAATATATACTAGTCTACCTAGTATATATTGTCCGCTAGTATCAGAGCTAGACACCGAGGTGTGTGCCCAGCAAAATGGTATCAGAGTTAGACACTAGGTGGTGTGCCCAGCAAGGACGCTCCGCCCCTAAGGGGGGTGGATTGTGAGATCAAGGTATAGCCAGACACCGGGCGTATGCCAATGAGGACGCTATACCCCTAAGGGGGTGGGTTGTGAGATCCCACCTCGGTTGGAGAGGAGAACAAAATATTTCATACAAAAATGTAGCCCGACACCGAGCGATGTGCCAATGAGGATACTAGGTCCCCAATTGTGGAATAGACGCCAATTGTAGAATAAACGCGTTTTAAAACCTTGAGGGTTGACCCAACGAAAAAAATTCAAACCCATGAACCGAATCAAATTTTCAATTTTTCAAAAACTCAACCCAACCCAAACCCAAAAAAAAAAAAAAAAACCTAGTGGAGACGATGTTACGATCTATCAGGTGATGACAACACCAATACATTTTTAGGCATTGGGTTGTAAACCAGGACATTCCAATATGAATTTCTTCCAAATTTGAATTTTCAATACAGAAGAGATTCATTCACCTTCCCTTCCAAGATCAATGGCCGTTTTAGCATTTGAACGCCATTAAACTCATTGCCCTCTCCTTCATCGCCCATCTTCCCTCTGTGATCCTCTTCCACCTCCATATCTGAACAAAGTCTCAAGTTCGAATCCCACGTTCGAAAATGGGTTCCATTGTGATGGAACCAGGCGACAATTCCATTTTCAACAACTTTTCTTCAATCTGTGTTCATGTCGATCGAATCCATTCCAACAGCGTCTTCATCGGAGAAAACCCTTTGGAATTCTCAGTTCCTCTTCTTCTTTTACAGCTCGGAATCTGTTCTGGAACGATCATCTTCTTGTTTCAGCTTCTCAAACGCCTTGCTCAACCGCTCATCGTATCACAAATTTTGGTAACTCCTCTGATTTCTTCAACCCTTTAATCCGAATGTATATTGATTTTTGTTCTTGTTCTTGTTGTTCTTGATCAGAGTGGATTAGTTTTAGGTTATTTCGGCGCGGGGTTCTTGGAGAAATTCAGAGAAACAATTTTCCCTATCAGGGGACTCATATTTCTGGATGCGATTTCTGCACTTGGACAGGTTTTTTACTTCTTTCTTATTGGTGTTCAAACGGATATGTCGATTATCAAGAACATTGACAAAAGAGCCTTTGGAATTGGGGTTTGTTCTGTGATTTTGCCTACGATTCTCTCCAATTTGTACACTGTAACCCTTGTGAACACTGTTGATTTAGACACAATCAAAACCCTTTTTGTGGTTGGTAATGCAGAGTGTTTTATCCACTTTGCCATGGTTGCTTCTCTTCTTAATGAGCTTCATTTGATAAACTCAAAGTTTGGGAAAATTGCTTTGGCATCTTCAATGAGTTCCAATTGTTTCGGCTTGTTCTTCCAAAAGATAGGCATGTTGTTGGCTAATGAACGTAAGGTCAGGCTTCATGCCTTGTCCACAGTTTATGGTTTCATAGTTCTAGCTGTTATCATTTTGAGTTTTCAGCCTGTGATTTTGTGGATGACAAAGAACAGTCCAGTGGGGCAGCCATTGAAGGAGAGCTTTGTTATTACATTGTTTTTAGGAGTATTGGTTGTGGCCTTCTGTAGCCAGGCTTCTGGTATGCATATCTATTTTGGTCCTATCTTGCTTGGGATTACAATACCTCCAGGGCCTCCCATTGGATCAGCAATGGTGGAGAAGCTTGATATCATCGCCTCATGGGTTTTGATGCCTATCTTCTTTGCCAAAATAGGATTGATTTTCAGTATCCATACCATCAAGCTCTTGAATTTCTTATGCATATCATTCATTATCATTGTGGCTGCATTTGGGAAGTTTTTGGGTGCTTTAATGATGTCGATATACTACAAATTACCTACGAGAGACGGTGTAGCGCTCGGCCTTATCTTGAATAGTCAAGGAGCTCTCGAGATCGGAATCTTTAAGTTAATGAAGAAGGACAAGGTAGGAATTCGTGTGTCTTTGATCATCGTTGTTGAATTGCATCGAATCGTTCTCATAAACTTACTTTAGTTTTGTTTCTTAAATCCATGCAGGTGTTGGATGAAGAAACATTTGTAGTTATGTGCATATGTGTTATGCTTGTGGCTGCAGTTATCACTCCTATTCTAAGATATCTCTTTGATCCTTCGAGAAGATTTGTAACTGAGAAGAAAAGAACAGTAATGCACTTGAGACCCGAGTTTGATCTTAGTGTATTAGTTTGCATTCACGACCAAGACGATGTTCCAAGTGCTATTAACATACTCGAGGCCTTGAAGCCAACGCATCGAAGCCATCTTATTGTGTACATGCTTCATCTTGTCGTGCTTCTTGGTCGTGCTAACCCACAACTTATTCACCATAGGATCACAAAGTTGAGGACTTCTTCAAGGTCTTATGTCTCTGAGAGTATTGTTAATGCCTTCAATTACTTTGGACAGAGCAACAGTGATGTTGTTACAATTCATCCCTTCACTGCAGTATCACCTTCAACAACTATGTACGAAGACGTTTGTTCGCTCGCGCTCGACAAAAGAACTTCCTTGATTCTTATTCCTTTCCACAAGAGATTTCATTCCAATGGCATGATGTCGTTGTCTAAATACAAAATGAAAATGCTTAACCAACATATCCTTGACAAGGCACCCTGTTCGGTCGCTCTCATTGTTGAGCGTGGAATCGTAAAGATCTCGAGGTCTATTTCTACCAATCTTTATTCTTTTCAAATAGCTATCGTCTTCATAGGCGGGCCAGATGACCGTGAGGCAATCTTCATCGGGACAAGAATGATTGGACATCCATATATAAACGTGACATTGATTCGCTTGTTGGAGGACACAAATTCTCCAAGCGATGGCGGTAAGGAGATGAAGCTCAACAATGAGGCAGTGAGCAAGTATCACAGACTCATGGAGAACAACCATAGAGTGCGGTATCTAGAAGAGGTGGCAAAGGATTGCACTGGTACAGTCGCCATACTTCGTACACTGGATAATAATTTCGATCTCATATTGGTTGGAAGACGACATAGCCCACGCTCCCCGCTCGTTCAAGGCTTGTTGCTTTGGAACGAGCAGACAGAGCTCGGGTCAATTGGAGAGGTATTGGCTTCTTCAGATTTTATAGGCAATGCCACCATCTTTGTTGTGCAACAACACAGAAAAGTGGTTAATGAAGACCCAGAAACATCAAAAAGATAACACTTGGATGCTTAAAGAGTTGCCCATTCAAGGTCAGCTCATAAGAGTTTTGATTCCCTTCTCTCTTTGTAAATTTTTGCATTTTGTCCTAATTTCTTTTGTTAATATACTTATATTAGCGTTCTTCGTCTTTGTTCTATCATGATTACTTGAGAATGAAAGGAAACCATTAGTGAACTTAGACTAGAATGTTCGTTAACATAAACATAGCTCAACGGTTAAGAACATCTACTGTGTCTTTTAGATGTCTTTTAGATCTGAACGCTCAATCCTGCCCATAGTTGTAATTTCCACGCATGCTAGATTCATTGCATGCTTGACAACAAGGATGTCAACCTAAACAGAACAGATGATGAAAAATTAAGCTTTAAACAATAACAAACACTTGAAACAATACAAAATTTCATCAAAACAGAACAGCACAAAAGGACAGTCCCTGTTCTGGCTTTGGATCTTTCCCTGTACAGCCTTATAGAATGATAAAAAAACTTCACCGCCCAAATTCATAAACATCAGACTTCCTTTTAAGGAAGCATTCGTCGAGGAACTCGCGTTGATCGTTTAGCAGACGTACTGATCTTATAGAATGATAAGCTTAGCTGTGCTAACAAACCATGTTGTATCTTTAGCTGATTTAAGCGTATGCGAATATAGATGCGTATACGAGAAGAACGAAGGTAATACATGTCAAATGATGAGACTAACAGAGAAGTAAGCGCATAAAAACATGCATATGTAGGTTTGAAACATCTCCAAAGTTCTTGTTCGAATGGATTCTTGTAAACAATAGTCCAAGAACTCGAACGCTACAAAGGGAAAGTTCGTGAGTTTCTCTAGAACCAATTAGATATCCCATGGGGAAAACTCGACCTTATACTATAAGCTCATGAAACGAGCAGATTAAGCAAATACCAGAGAATCCGAGCAATGAATTAGCAGAATTTAAGGTACCAATTACACGCTTCAATCAGACCTCCAATACCTGTTTCAATGTAATAATGTTAAGCTAGGGAGTGTCACAATCGCCTTTCGAGTTAACGAAAAGCAGACACTAGACCTGACCCCGACGACCATTGGCAAGTGAACGTCCTAAACCGCTCCTTCGACATTAAGTTCACTTAGCAAGGAATAAAATAAGCAGTTTGAGATTCAGAACTTGTACGTTATTGATAAGAGACCAAATGCAAAGAAAAAACTAAATAGCTTCTTTGATTATGCAGAGAGATTGAAAACTTGGGGACAAGAAAAAATTATACCTTAAAATTCACAAACAAATTGTTCATCATTCCATCAAGAACTAGAAAAGAAGTAAAATTGCCTTACATGATCAACACGCCTTTTGAATAGAGAAACAAACAGAAAAATGAAGTTAAGCTCAAGCCAAGCTGCTCTAAGTTGCAGATAATCACACCTGCAAAAGGCAAAAAGATATCAAAAACCTCAATGTTCTTAACCATTAAAACCTTCCAAAAGCTTTCTAAGAATCAAGAAAGAACCTGGCATGTGAAGAAGAGCTTGAAAGATTGCCATTCACAGGGGGAGGAGGTGCAAACCAGGTAAAGATCTCTCTCTCTCTCTCTCTCTCTTTCTCTCTCTCTCTTGAAATTATACAATACAATACAAACCCATTTAGAAAAAAGGAAATTGAAAGGAAAAAAAGTGAAAAAAAAGAGTCCTTGTTCTTCAATTTTCTACCCTGAATCTTGTGAATCATCTTTAGCAGGAGGTTGCTGGTGTTGTTGATGATGGTGATGAACTCTAGCTTGGCCCATTTGTTGGTAAAACTGGTTCAATGCTTGTGGATTGATAGCCCCAATATGGGGATCTTGGCTCAATCCAAGCTCTAAACCAGGTAGCTGTTGAGAGTTGGCACCTAGAATGGAGGTGAAACTCATAGGACCCATGTTGGTGGGGGGTAAGTCAAAGGCTGGGAAACCAAGTTTATGAAAGTAATTTGAAGTTTCATTAGCTAAATTAGTGGCTGATTGAGCAACACCAGCTGTAGTTGATGACTGAAACCCAAACCCACTGACAGAGGAGGGCCAAACCGCTGTGGCTGTGGCGGCTGCGGCGGCGGCGGCAGCAGCAGCAGCCAAATGGGGTCTCCCCAAATTCCCCCAACTGGCCCTACTGGACCCGCCACCGCCTAATTCCTCCAATTTTTGTTGTAATCCGGCGGAGAGAGAAACCCCTTGTTGCGAAACGGAACCCGCCACTGCTGCTAAAGCAGAAGCTGGGATCGTTCCAGTTCCAGTGGCGGCGATTATCGATGGCTCCGCTTGCTGTAGCAACCACTGGATGGTTTCTCCGTCGGATTTATGACCCAATTCCCTCGTTAATTGAAAAATCCTCGCCGCACATAGTGCCGGCATACGGATTCTTCGACCACGTCCTTCCACTTTTGTGTGACGGTCTTTGTTGGAGCTTCGTTTTGGAGCTAATTGTTTCTTACCTTCTTCTTTGATTTCCGGTGGTTTGTTTTCCCCCATGATTGATTGTTCTTGTGGGAAGTTCAAAAAGTTTGGTACCAGTTCTTGGGGCTGCTTTGTTGTTGATGATGAAGTTTTAGGATCCATGGAAGAAGAGGAAGAAGAAGAAGAAGGGCACAAAAAGAATGAATTATTTTATACAAAAACTGAGTCGAACCACAAAAAAAATAGTGTTTTTGGAATGAAATGAAAGAGAAATTGAAGTCCCATTTGTCAAAATTGCCTTTGATCTCTGTTTTCTTTTCTTTTTTGCTTTCTGGGTTCCCTCTGATCTGTCCTTTCTTACCACTTTTCTTACTGTTTTGGGCTTTTGACCAAATGTGAAAGCAACTTTAACTCCCAAAACATTTTTTTTTCACCTTCACTCACTCACTCACTTCCATCTTCAACCCTTGTCTTTAGGACATTTTCCTAGTCGTTCTAGTTGGTTTCACGGACCTTCCCTTTCTGTCTTATGCGAGTGTATATATAGGTTTCTTTGACAGTATCAGGTCGGTCGACAATTACATATGTTGTTCATCCTGTGAGAGAAGAAGAGTTGCTTTCATGAGTCTTCCCTTTCTACCTTATGTGAGTGTTATATAGGTTTCATCGAGAATACCGAGTCGAACGACAACTATAGTTTTCGTTCGTCTTGTGAGAGAAGAAGAGTTGCTTTCATGTGCCTTCCCTTCTCACATTATGTGAGTTTATATATAGGTCTCGTAGAGAATACTGAGTCAAACGACAATGATAGTTTTCGTTCGTCCTGTGAGAGAAGAGTTGCTTTCATGGGTCTTCCTTCCCCACCTTATTTGAGTGTATATATAGGTTTCGTCGAGAATACTGAGTCAAACGATAACTATAGTTTTCGTTCGTCTTGTGAGAGAAGAAGAGTTGCTTTCATGGGCCTTCCCTTTCTACATTATGTGAGTGTATATAGAGGTCTCGTCGAGAATACTGAGTCAAATGACAACTATAGATTTCGTTCGTCTTGTGAGAGAAGAAGAATTGCTTTCATGTGCCTTCCTTCTCACATTATGTGAGTGTATATATAGGTCTCGTAGAGAATACTGAGTCAAATGACAAATATAGTTTTCGTTCCCTGTGAGAGGAGTTGTTTCATGGGTCTTCCTTCCCCACCTTATGTGAGTGTATGTCGAAAATACCGAGTTTATCTATAACTACAGAAGAAGAGTTGCTTTTAGGGGTCTTCCCTCCCCACCTTATGTGAGTGTATATATAGGTTTCATCGAGAATATCAAGTCAATCAATAACTACAGTTTTCGTTCGTCCTATAAGGGAAGAAGGGTTCTGAGATACCTCGAGACCCTTCATACATTTCATAGTTAGCAACAAGCTTTTTTAGTGGTAGACACAAGTACAGGTCGACTATACGTTATTTCTTAAAATATCGTTCACGTGCCAAACAATAAATGAAACGAGTATCTACACTCTAGTAGTACTTGAATTTTCTCCGTGAACAACGCTCTTATTATTAATTTTTTGCTCAAATGTACACGTGGAGAGCGGAGATTATGCCACTTGGACAGCCATGATTGGCTTGTGGGGTTGCTTCAAATCCACTCTTTGCTTCATCTCTCTTGTCAATGTTTTGCAGAAAGACATGGAGGAGGAGAGAGAATGAATGGTTACTGTTTTTGGGTTTTTGGCATAAAAAGAAGGTTTGATTATCATTATTTTGTACTTTTTGTTACATGGAAATTATATAAATTCTAGGTGGGACCCTTTTTGCCCTAGATTGGTTCTTGTCAGGGTGTTCGGGGGTTCAGACACTTTGTAGTCGGGTTGTTCTAAGATCTGTTTATTGTTAGGAATCACGACTCTCCACAATGATATGATATTGTCTCGTATAAGCTCTCATGGCTTCAGCCCAGAAGACCTCATACAAATGAATTTTATAAACCCATGATCATTCCCTAAATTAGCCTGTGGGACGACTCCCTCCCAACAATTCTCAACAATCCTCCTCTCGAACAAAGTATACTATAGAGCCTCCCCGAGCCTCCCCTGAGGTCTATATAGCCCTTGAAGGCCTCATACCAATGGATCTTATAAACCCGATATGATATTGTCCAGTACAAGCTCTCATGGCTTCAGCCAAGAAGGCCTCATATAAATGGATCTTATAAACCCATAATCATTCCCTAAATTAGCCTGTGTGACGACTCCCTCCCAACAATTCTCAACAATCCTTCTCTCGAACAAAGTATACCATAGAGCCTCCTCGAACCTCCCCTGAGGTCTATATAGCCCTCGAAGGCCTCATACCAATGAATCTTATAAACCCATGATTATTCTCTAAATTAGCCCACGTGGGACAACTCCTCCCAACAATTCTCTATCTTCCAAACCGTTAAAAAAATATTTTTTTAAATTAACAATAAATTCAGGTCGGTTCAACCTAGCTCAAACAAGTTCATAACCCAATTGGTTTGAATTGATCTGATCGGATTTTTTGGGTCATCGATTTTTTTGAACACCCACGTAAACGGGTATTAAATGTTTTTTTTGTTTTGTCTTCAACCTAAAGAACATTAAATTTTTTTTTTTTTTTTTTTTCTTGATGTCAAAGAAAAATACCATTTATATATGATTATTATAAATGCATAATAATGAAACATCCTAAATTGGAGGGAATATATTATAACGGTGTATAGATTTGTAGCATCCATAATTAGAAGCATAATCCTTCCCCTATAAATTAATCATCCATCTTTTTTTAATTTTTATATATTCTCCCATTTAGCCACTTATTTATTTATTTATTTCCATTTTTGCTTTTTTCTTTCAAAAAAAAAAAAAAAAATCCAATTTATTCTCGAGGTTTGCATTCAGCTTTCTGTTAATTATCATACGACGTTTGATGACATGACACGGTTGATGTTTCACGTCAGTTAAAAATGAGGAATGATTGTGAGTAGTAATGAATTAAATTTACCTCTTGTGTAACGAGACTCATTTTATGTTTAACCTTTCTAGTCGTCATTGTAGATGTTAAACTAACCAAGTCACCACTAGTAAATATTATTCGCTTTGGCTCGTTACGTATCGTCGTTAGCTTCACCATTTTAAAACGCGTCTACTAGAGAAAAGTTTTCACACCCTTATAAGAAATGCTTCGTTCCCCTCTCCAATTGAGGTGGAACCTCACAATCCACTCCCTTGGGGCCCAGCGTCCTCACTAGCACATCGCTTAGTGTCTGGCTCTAATACCATTTGTAATAGCTCGAGGCCATTACTAGTCGATGTTTTCCGCTTTTGCCTGTTACGTATTGCCGTCAACCTCATAGTTCTAAAACGCGTCTACTAGAGAAAGGTTTCCACATTTATCAGAAATGTTTCATCCTCCTCTTCAACCAATGTGGGATCTCACACAAGAGGTTCACTAACATGGCCTTAGCCGACTACTTGAAAGACTAGTCTACCAAGGATCAATTAATTTGTTGAGGGGACGACCTTTTCTGGGTTCGATCAGGTTTAGCCCTACATGTCCATGAATCATGCGCTTACTCGTCCCATCTTACTAACACCTCTACCAGGGCACCTCCTCTCGAATCTATATTCCTTCTCGAGTATTACCCAATTGTAACTGAATCGTCATACGGTTAATTTTTACTCGTAACAAGAAACTATAATCAATATTATAGCTAAGAATTTGACTTTCCACACATGTTCCCTTTTGCATTAGATAATAACTTATACATCTCATGCACTTCTCTCACCATCATATCCATCTTGTGATCCATATTCTTTTTCATTATTATCATTACTTCCTTTCGTGTTCTATACTCTCAACTTGATTGTTAAGCAAGTCACATTATTATACGTGAACACGAGCTCTTTTTTAATCTCGTTAGGGGTATGACTAAATTCTACCTACTTCTCGTTTAGATTATAAAGCTAATCACTTAAGTTCGATACGACGTTTGTTGTTTAGTTTTTAGAGTTCAAGAACATGTTAGGATGACCTCTTTGTAAATGAGATATGTCTGTAATCTTTAGTGATGTGACTATTTTTGTTATTTTGTTAGAGTTTAATAATACACGAGAGGAGAGAGATTCGAACATTTGACTTTTTAGTAGATGATACTATTTAATTAGTTAAGCTATGCTCAAATTGGTTGCAAGTGCATCTGTTTTGATATTTTATTTTATTTTTTGGGGGCTATGTTGACAAAAATCTCTTGAATCAGCTAATATATAGCCTATGTCGATATAAGAACGTTTCTCTCGATGTATTGTGAAACGTTGGGATATTTTAGAGCTATGTCGATGCATAATGAATCAACAATAGCCTCGTTTATCAAATTTCATTAGGATAACTTCTCTCGACATGTCTATGACAAAATTTTTCTACGATGCTTTTTTTAGTCACGATGATGCTTTGCCGCCGTTTTGTTTGGTTTGCCCGATGGTTTTCTCGTGTCTGGAAAACCTAAATACGTCATAGTGATAGAAGTAAGTTCGACGAAAATTTGATTGCACTAAATGAACTTATCCAACTCACCCTCGACAAAATTCTTCCTCTACATGTCTTATCGTCATTCACTCGACCTTTTCTCTTATCCATCAAACTATTTCCCGATCGAAAATCTTTTCAATATCATAATTCAAAGTTCATATAATATGAGATTATTTAAAATTTAAAGACTGAATAGATACCCGACCGAAAATCATTGTAAGCTATGTAGCTTTATATGATAGTGGAGGGCAAAATAGGGAATGTGTATTTTGGTGATTGAGTTGCTAGTCACATGTGCATCCCATCATGGAGACAAAGGATGTCCCTTTTTCAATTTTAGCTCTTGAAAATATCAAATCAAACCATATAATGTAAATACGTTTTCACATAATTCAAAAGATCGATCATGTCAGTTTTAAATTTAATTATAATCAAACGAGACTTTAATCTAAGACTGACTACGAGCTAAAAAGAATCATGGTTCGGTGTGATGTACACGTCCATTTGTAACATACTGAGGAAGACATACAAAATACATAATGTCACACGTTTAGAGTCATGATTCAGTGCGATGATGCATGTAGTACTTGCATACTTATCATGACATGAATTCCCTATGAAACGTGCTTACTTATTCGTGATATTTCATACATGTTCATCATGCATGGTACGTCATAGTATCTCATTAGAACATAAACGTAATTATAATAATATAACAAATCGTGACATGGTACGCTCAAGTTTCATTTAATTCATCCAACCTAGTCTGTAGGCGTTCTAATAAGAAATTGACGTACAATTCAGAATCAACTTGGTGTTCCTAAGCTTAGTTTAGCAAACACTTAGCTGCACA